ACAAACGAATCGCTCATCAATTAATTCTGAATATCCGTTCTGTCTTCATTTTAGTATGAAAGTATTGTACGCGAAGATTTCCACTAGTCTCCTATATTTCAATTTTCGAACGGCCCTTCTCATATGGTATACGAATATTACAGCATTCAGCTACTGACCATTAAATTGAAAGAATTCAATATTTATCTTATTCGATCAGGAATCTGCCGTCAGTTTTAATGCTTTCTGAAGCAATTCGAATTTTAGACAGAACAGAATTCGAGACGCTTTCATTTCGATGAGTATTTGGTGGTCTGCCAATAAAATCATTCGATAGAAAAGATTAGTGTAAAATTTATTTGTTATCAATTTTATATCATGGCGGATGGTACGAGATATTCTGTTTTCGTTCAGCAAAACTAACAGTGAAACACGGTTATCACACCGATTCCAATAACACTTGCTCAGACTAGTTCGTTCTTAAGATATTTTGTTCGGACCTTTTAAAATCTATCTGCAACAGTGTTTCAATCTGTGTTTATTTATTATGTATGGTGTTTGCTGAACAAAAATGAGCGCAGTTGTATTTCATACGTTATAATTTCGCAGTCTTTACTCTGTAAGAGGTAGAGTGCAATTTTGAAAACTAACCAGTCCACCAGAAATGTTATTTATACTTAGCCATTGTCGTTCGTCATCATAACGTTCACCACTACCAAACCTTGGCATCTCATCTCATCTCATCAGGGTCGCGCGAACGCAGTCCCACATGCAAAAATTTAGCTGTTGGCTTACTTCAACTCGAAGTAGCCACATGGGTCAGCCCTACGAAAGTGCAATGTGAGGGCCTCACCATGGGGGTCCCGCCTTCTTGATCACGAGAGCCCCCCAGCCAGGTAAGTTTATGGCGGTTTGGAGAGAAACACACAGAATACCTCTGCATCGTACATTTAGCGATTTTCACGCATTAGCATGATTATCATCGAACGAGACGCAGACATAACAGAAACGCTGCGTTCGCACTCAACGTCGCACAAGAACATCTCATTCACAGTAATTTAAATATGACTAGTGGAAAATCGAAATCACATCAATTATTCAATAAAAATCTCATAAAATAGTTCTGTATACTGCATAAATTATCGAACTTCTACAGCAAATCACAATGTTGAGCAGTAATCTGTAAATTAGCAAATAAAGAAGAAATCATGATAGAATTGAACCGGATTTTTTTTCAGATTCCATCATTAGAAAATATTCGCTTGCTAGTTCGGTATTGAATGATTCTTTAATTATTCACTGAATTCCGCGTGTGTTTAATGTTTCAATTTTTATTTTTCTCCATGAATAGAAGCAATATTCCTTTTCAGCTGAATGCAAACAAAGATATTTTTTAAAATTTGATAACATATCTGGTTATCTAACTAACTATTTAACATTTAATTTGTCATACATTGAAAAATATGATCGTATCGTACATTCAATATGCTTATTTGGACAGCCTAACTAAACGTGTTGTACGTTGAATCAGATGCTATGAAAAGTGTTTTCTTCTTTGTACATACAATGTCAGTACAGTGGGTTCGGACGTCGATCTTTGTGATCTTCTTAGTGCTATAAAACGATGCAATTAAACGAAAGCATATTTTTTATTCATAGAAAAAACGTTCGTACGCCAAACGTAAGCGGATCGAATTTTTCGTCCGTCACCAACTACGGCATCATAGAGAAATAAACATCATCAACAATTACTATTTACCAACTGCTATAGGAGATAAGCACAATATAAACGCATTTTACAATTACTTAGAAAAACTTATCCAAAATCAAAAATACATCTACAATCTTCATATCGGAAACGTTAACACGAAAATGAATGCGAAAACGATGAACGAAAAACACGATAGTATCGAAGAGATCAAATTGCAATGACGAAATGAAAATGAAGAATATGTTGCATTACTCTTCTCCACAGTGCGCTTATTTTATAGCTGAGGATTATAGCTTTATAGTGAAGAAAGAGTAGAATAAGAATAACAGAAGAATACTGACTGCAGAGAAGAGTCTCTCGAGTAATCTCTACTTTATCACTCAAATTAGATACAAAGAAAAGTTATATAATGTATTATAATAATTTCTGGCCTCTGAGTTATCGTATCGAAAGTTTGAAATGGTGGAGAGGCGAGTGAAAGTGCAAATATCCTGGTTCATAAGAGGTCATAGTTATTTCATAACTTCGATTTCCTTCTGAAATCAAACTTAGCTGCAAAACAGAAAAAAACATTATTTCCACATACAGAAGTCTCTGCCTCCTCCCAGTATGAGCAGTTACAGCAAATATATTCTCCGTACTTCTCTCTCATGACCTCTAACCAATCTTCTTTCCCGTTGCTATTAAACTGGTCGTCGTTGTCTCGTACAATTTTCATTATTATCTCATACCGAATTACTGTTGATCTTCATATATCATGCTTACGTTTTGTACCTGATTAATAATTGTCATCTGATTGCATGATCACATTCATACGAATCCTATCATGAATATTCTTGATCTATCGTTATTGTAGTTTTGATTTATTAGTTTTGTGTATTGTTTGACTAAAGGTTTAATTACCAAAGTTTGAGGTGCAACCACTCAAGTTTGAAGCAAACATTACAAACACTGAACCAGAGCCCTAGCATACCGGCTATCATCCGCCACGATATAAAATTGATAATGGAAAATTTTTACACTAATCTTTTCTATTGAACGATTTTATTGGCATACCCTCAAATACTCATCGAAATGGAAGCGTCTCACATTATCTTCGGTCTGAAGTTCGAGTTGCTTTAGAAAGCAATTATTGTAGCAAGTAAGAAAGATCTAGCAATTATCATGAAGTTTTATCCGCGGTCCGGCCACCGTCTCCCTCATAATAAATTTTCCTTGACGCGCTTTTCCCTTCAATTTTCCTTCAAAGTATAAAAAGCTGCAATTTTTATGATACGAAATCTCAACTCTAAAATAAATTAATATTTCTTCAACTTTTTTGCTCGATTTTGGATGATACTATAATTGACAAGATGGATGAGAAATATGAAGGGCTTCAAAATAACTCAAAGGATGCCAAATGTTTGGTAGTTACTAAAACACCTTTATTTATAAGAAACCTTGAACTGATGTACCAACGTGGGCAGATAAAGCCGCAGGTAATTACTGGCTGAGATCCGAACTTACAAAACGCTACAAAAGAGTGATCCAAGAGAACGGAGAGAGAAAGAGAGAGAAAGAAAGAAGAGCAATTGAAAGAGCGCAAAAGTGAATAAATGAAGATCAATCTTGATAAAGCTCTTAATTCTGTTAAAATAGAAGCGGTCATGGAGGTATTCTATAAAGATACCATCTATCTCACCAACGTAAAAAAACGGGTGTCGCAAGCCGATACCATTTCGCCTAACATGTTCACAGCAAATTTTGAGCACATAATACGATAATCATTGTGGGACGATATGGGAGTGAAACGACGGTCGGCAACTTCATTATCTTTATTTGACCTATTCATTACCATTACATTATTCATTATTCATTATCGTATTCATTACACAAAATAAATCGTGAGTGAAACAAATGTTAGCCAAATACGGTAGTGCTTGCCGAAAAACATCGCCTCGAGTTGAATCTCAAGCACAATGCTTATGAACAGCGAATGAGTTCCTAGTTCTCCATTTACACTAAACTAAAAAGACATCTTAGAATGCTCAGGCTTTGTATTTCAAGGTCGTTTCGTATCAATATGATGGATGACATGCTTGGAAAACATATAAAGGTAACGAAAAAGTATTGAAGAGATGAAACAAGAGAATGCTTGCTCCGATCTCACGTGCTTGACATGACGATCCTCCCTGCCTTAATTTATGACTCGAAAACCTGGACATTAGGAAAGCCGGTTGATCGACCACTGAACGCGATATAACGCTCCATAAGGAGTGCGATGCTAGCCGTTTCCCGTGTCATACAACTGAAAGAGGGAATACAAAGTTCTGACCTTCGTCAACGATTAAAGATGAGAGACGCAGCCTTACACTTTCCGAAGATTAGGTGAGTCAATCATGTGTTGCCCATGAATGGTGACCGGTGGACACGAGCTGTAAGGAATAAAATCCTAATGGAGATTAAACGCAGTGCATAAAGGCCACCAGCAATATGGTTTAAATTTACAAAAGCCGCAAAAGGGGATTATGGTGTTTAACGATCCCTTGAGCGAGAAGACCATCGCGCGTGATGGGGAGAAATGGAACTTTTGCTGATGCCAACTCGGCTCTGTCGATGATCAACAGAAACCCAGTTGATTTCTAATGCTGTGATGCCAATCGCAAAGCTCAGAACCGACTTGTAACTTGAACCCCCTCATCTACAGATGCCCGCTGTATCATATTCTAATTTATATTTATAATTATATTATATTTATATTATATTTATAATATTATGTTATGTTATATCTATAATTTATATTTATATTTATATTCATATTTACACTACAGAGTGGTTGTATAGCGAGTGTTCCGTCTTGCATGGAGTAGATGTAGGTTCGAGTCCAGCCTGATGTTCCAGATTTGCGACGGACTCAGTATCATTGAGGATATTTGAGCAACTATAAATTTTTGAATGATTGATATAAATCTAAGTGAGATATTTCAAAAGCTTATTATCATAAAACTGTTGGGAAAATATTTCCATTACAACTGTATCTGTAGTAAAATTGTTGTAAATTCAACGATTCATAAGCAACACTAATCGTTAATGCTATCACAATATCCTTTCTCGTCAATTAGAAGGAGTACTATCAGGCAGTTTATCGATAGTAATGAACATAGAGAATGAAGAAAAAGCCTTCACTTTCATTGATTTTTCTAACATGAGTTACTGCACCTTAAACTTGGGTAATTAAGCTTTTATTTAAACAATATACAAAAATATTATGGATTATATGAGTCAAGAAGTATTTTCTACATTCATGGACTCGTATATAATAATAATGTTCTCAGTCATTAGCATATATTTCATCGTTCTAGAATGCTGCCGAGATCGCTTCTGTGCTATCTATTGTTAGTATGCTTCAGTTCTCTTTCAAATGGTCTTGATTGCTTTCCATTTCCCATAAAAAGACAAAAAGAAGGACCATGTGCACCGGAATGTTTGAAAAATGTATGGTAATCACATTATAATGCTCGGAATCCTGAAGCTAGAAATTCTTAGTCTTGATGGTGGATTTTTCTTACGTTTTGTGATTATTGATGAAATGATGAATGCCCTAATTACGTTATTCCAGGGTTATCAAGAGGGATATTGAGGTTATGACTCGCAATGCTACTGTGTTGGCTATGAATCGTGATTGAGAATATTTCAGATTTTGTTCAAAGTGAAATTATAATGAAGTTTTCAATTTTCTCTTTTTTTTTCCATTCAGTCAAAGTTGTTTCATAGGATTTCACTTAATTATTGCCAATCTTAAAAATTTATTGCAAAATATTATGGTAGTGGTTAAAACCATTAGCCTGCTGTATAAATTTCACATTTATAATCTATAGTATAGAATATAATCTATCCTAATTTATATAAATTTAGAAGCACAGTAATGTAACAATAGCGCGACAAGAAATAACGTGCGAGTTATAGACGTGGATTCAATGTGTACCTGGATTCTCGTCAATATGTCTAAATGAGAAAGTAAAATGCTTTCAAAACTTCATGCAGTGTTGTAAATGGTGACTGATGTAAATTTTTATCACCAAATCGAGTGATGGTGCATTATTGGTGAATGGACGAAGAAGAAGCAATTAGCAACTACTGGTACACCAATTTTGACTTCTTATTTCGCAGGGAAAAAAGTCGTACAGCACTCGAAAGAGACGGAACTAGGCCTT